TTCTACAGTTATGTACGGTGACCTGTAAACATCACATGGGGTACTGTTCAGACCGCTTACAAAGTTTCAAATTATATTTATTTAAAACATCAACAGTGGATTCGGACCTCTGTCGACTGTACATACAATTCATTTGATCAGTTGAAGTTTGCCTATGGTAGTTGAGAGGATACCACGCGCTTCTATATGAATAAAAAAAATCATAAGATATTGCATGGCGACCATACTTCACACAAAATTGAACGAGGACCTGGTTTATAAACCTTTTAGAAGACTCTTCATACACTTTTATACATTTCGACGGTCCCATCTGATACCCCCTCATACATATAAATTGCATGTTTCTATCGATAATATCACAACTTCTCAATTAGCACTAACAACTGAAGTTTAATTGGTAATATTTATGGAGCTACGCCATGCCTGTCAGCCAGTGATGAACTCTAGGAGTTGTGTGAAGAGTGTTTTTACCTCATATAATGATTGTTTATAAATCAAATTAGATACGTTATTTAATAACCATAGCGTATCTTATCATACATTTCTTTTATAGCTTAATAATTAGATTAACTATTTGCAATTGCCTGTTGATTTTATACACAGTTTCTATATAAAAAAGAGAAGAATTTTGGGCGTAGAATCTGTTAAAATATGAACAAATAGTTTTATCTGGGGGCGGAGAGGTGTATACAATCAAGGCCAACGATCTACGACCGGGGGAAGTGTGATGTGGGCTGAAATTGTTTAAGATTTAAAACTCAGTATGAGTTCTTCTTTTAGCTATCTTCTATCCTGTGATAATAAAGACAGCCATCGTCAAACAATTATTAAAAGAAAAGTTTGCCTCCAAACTGTTGATGTTAGAATAAAACATTAGATTTCCTGTAGGTGTGACTTAATTGATGTCAGAACAAAACTTAAGATTACCTGTAGGTGTAACCTAATTGATGTCAGAACAAAACTTAAGATTACCTGTAGATGTAACCTAATTGATATCAAGAAGATTTGAGATTTCCTGTAAGTTATCTTTACAATGTCAAGGTTACTTCGTACTTACACCTGAAATAGTCACCTTTCTCATATCATAGAAGTTTGTAAATGAGACGATTTGATGGGGTTGTGCGTTAGCGAATACAGCCAATCAGAGGCCTTGACAGAAATTTGTGAACACAAATCCATAATATTTACAGTCTTTCTGTTTGACTGTATTGGCAGGCGTACAATCCAATCAAATCACTGCATTCCATGATACAAGAAAGGTTGCATTTAAGGTTAAAAGTACGAAGTTCTTAATAGCTTGACATTGTGAGGATGCCTGTAAGTGTGACCTAGTTGATGTCAGACAGAAAGAATATGATTATGGTCTAGAAGCTATGTATAATATAATAATGTTTATAGAAAATAAGACAGGGACAATACGATATTCTGACGTATACAAGCCTAACTTATCACTTAATTTCCCATGAATAATAATCAGATTAGTCTTCTTACTGACTACAAAATACATCCAAGTCTCAAATGTTATATTATGTATTTATAACCTGGCGTCATTGTCCGCGGTTGTCGTATATGTGCTAGTAATGGCTTATGTTATGGACCTGTAACACATTGACGATTAAGGCAAGCGTATACCCAGCGTATAAATAATTTGTACGCGGTCGTACGTCGAATACATAATGAGCAAGTTTCGTATAAGCTGATCAACTTTTAACCACCCTGTGTATACATCGTAGTAAGAGGAGAACGAATAAACATTTTACTTGCACTAACTTTTCGATGTATGCTGGTATACTTTGGACCTATATGTCGGACATATTTCCATTATATATCCGTGTTTTTCTTTACAATTAACGTATAATGATATTTATGTTATACGGTAGCTGTAAGTTTGGCACGCGTTTAGTAAGTTCTGTGGTTGTCCAAGTTCAGTTTAGCATTGGTTCTTACATTCCACGTATGCGAGATGTATGGGTCATGCACAAAATTTTACCGTACTTCGACGTATACCAGGGTGCTTAAACGTGCTTTCAAACTAAACAAAACCTATCCATAACTTATGTAGACGTATTCGCGTGCTCTAGCCAAATCGTCATGGTGTGATAGCATCTGGTATATCACAATCGTTATATTAGTATGAATTATAAGTATTATTAGTATAAGTTATCATAACGTTCTATATAAGTTTATACTACGTTATGTATACGCGCAATTCGTTGTGAATACGCTATCTGTACGCCACAAAATTAAAAAGGGATACAGAAATTGTTCAGCGTATACCAGCGTTTTAAGGAAATTTTGATACAATGCCTTGCGCTAGCTAAATCGGCAAGGTGTGACTTCTAGAGTCCGTATGGCTAATTTGGTTTATTTGTCATTCCTATCTATTCGACGTCGGTGCAAATTGGATATCTCTCGGAAAATGCAAATCGAAACATGGTCCAGTTTAATGGCTCTGTCATTGGAATTGTCAAATCGGCGCGCCTTTTGTGAGTTCACATGGCTATATGAACATACGCCATTCCAATGAAATCAGAACAGATATATAGGTCAGTGTTACTATACGTCTGACAATTGATTCATACAAAATAATAGTTCTTAGCAGATCTCTCTATCTAGCCACCTTCAGGAATATATGAATGTTATCATTCTATTCATAATATAGTTATATTTAAATCAGTATATTCAGCAATCGGCAAGGGGATTAGTAGCATACAAGACATATAAATAAGGCCGGTACCGGTTTTCTTGGAAGCAAAATGTTAATTTGCTTGGCATTAACTAGCTGTACAGCAATAGACTTGGATGTTGAATTAGATATATTCAGTATAGAGAACCACCATTCAAGAGAAAAGGGACAAAATAACCTAAGGGTAACAGATTGTGCAACAATGTTCTCTCTAGAAAAATACATTGAGGCTCTCTCATCTAAAGAAATAAATCGAGGCCAAATGTACACGAAACTGTGCAGGATAAGAACACTGAATGGTGTTATATTTTGATACTCCAATCAGGTGCAGAAAATTGTCGTAAATTAGCATTTCATTCTTGCCAATTACTAACTTCCTCTGAAACACTATATATTTGTTGGAACATAGGGGATGTTTTTTGAAATTACAATGTCATGGTAACAATCAATGTAACAGAAATAACTATAATTCGTGCTATATCGCTTCATGCTATTGATGTATTGAGTACTATTTTAACAGTGGTATTTCTATATTGCTCTATAATTGACATATCGGACACTATTATGACAGTGGTATTTCTATTTCACTCATCAATTGATGTATTGAGCACTATTTTAACAGTGGTATTTCTATATCGTTCTACAATTGACATATCGGACACTATTATGACAGTGGTATTTCTATTTCACTCATCAATTGATGTATTGAGCACTATTTTAACAGTGGTATTTCTATATCGTTCTACAATTGACATATCGGACACTATTATGACAGTGGTATTTCTATTTCACTCATCAATTGATGTATTGAGCACTATTTAACAGTGGCATTTCCATATCGCCCTAAAATTGATTTATTGATAAATAATTTAACAGTGGTATTTCTATTTCACTGTACAATTGATGTATTGAGCACTATTTTAACAGTGGTATTTCTATTTTACTATACAATTGATACATTGGGCACTATTGTAACAGTGGTATTTCTATATCACTCTATAATTGTATTGAGCACTATTTTAACAGTGGTATTTCTATATCGCTCTACAATTGATGTATTGAGCACTATTTTAACAGTGGTATTTCTATTTCACTCATCAATTGATGTATTGAGCACTATTTTAACAGTGGTATTTCTATTTCACACTACAATTGATGTATTGAGCACTATTTTAACAGTGGTATTTCTATTTTACTATACAATTGATACATTGGGCACTATTTTAACAGTGATATTTCTATATCACTCTACAATTAATGTATTGAGCACTATTTTAACAGTGGTATTTCTATATTACTCTACAATTGATGTATTGAGCACTATTTTAACAGTGGTATTTCTATATTGCTCTACAATTGATGTATTGAGCACTATTTTAACAGTGGTATTTCTATATTACTCTACAATTGATGTATTGAGCTCTATTTTAACAGTGGTATTTCTATATTGCTCTATAATTGATGTATTGCGCACTATTTTAACAGTGGTATTTCTATATCACTCTATAATTGTATTGAGCACTAATTTAACAGTGGTATTTCTATATCGCTCTACAATTGATGTATTGAGCACTATTTTAACAGTGGTATTTCTATTTCACTCATCAATTGATGTATTGAGCACTATTTTAACAGTGGTATTTCTATTTCACTCTACAATTGATGTATTGAGCACTATTTTAACAGTGGTATTTCTATTTTACTCTACAATTGATGTATTGAGCACTATTTTAACAGTGATATTTCTATATCACTCTACAATTAATGTATTGAGCACTATTTTAACAGTGGTATTTCTATATTACTCTACAATTGATGTATTGAGCACTATTTTAACAGTGGTATTTCTATTTCACTCTACAATTGATGTATTGAGCACTATTTTAACAGTGGTATTTCTATTTTACTATACAATTGATACATTGGGCACTATTTTAACAGTGATATTTCTATATCACTCTACAATTAATGTATTGAGCACTATTTTAACAGTGGTATTTCTATATTTCTCTACAATTGATGTATTGAGCTCTATTTTAACAGTGGTATTTCTATTTCACTCTACAATTGATGTATTGAGCACTATTTTAACAGTGGTATTTCTATATCGCCCTAAAATTGATGTATTGAGAAACATTTTAACAGTGGTATTTCTATTTCACTCTACAATTGATGTATTGAGCACTATTTTAACAGAGGTATTTCTATATCACTCTACAATTGATGTATTGAGCACTATTTTAACAGTGGTATTTCTATATCACTCTACAATTGATGTATTGAGCACTATTTTAACAGTGGTATTTCTATTTTACTATACAATTGATACATTGAGCACTATTCTAACAGTGGTATTTCTATATCGCTCTACAATTGATGTATTGAGCGTTATTTTAACAGTGGTATTTCTATATCGCTCTACAATTGATGTATTGAGCGTTATTCTAACAGTGGTATTTCTATATCGCTCTACAATTGATGTATTGAGCGTTATTCTAACAGTGGTATTTCTATATCGCTCTACAATTGATGTATTGAGCACTATTTTAATAGTGGTATTTCTATATCGCTCAACAATTGATGTATTGAGCGTTATTTTAACAGCGGTACTTCTATATAACTCTACAATTGATGTATTAAGCACTATTCTAACAGTGGTATTTCTATATCGCTACACAATTGATATATTGAGCAATATTTTAACAGTGGTATTTCTATATCGCTCTACATATGCTGTATCGAGCACTCATTTTAACCGTTGTATTTCTATATCGCTCTACAATGAATGTATTGAGCAATATTTAACAGTGGTATTTCTATATCGCTCTACATATGCTGTATCGAGCACTATTTTAACTGTGGTATTTCTATATTGCACTACAACTGATGAATGAGCACTATTTTAACTGTTATATTTCTATATTACTCTACAATTGATGTATTAAACACTATTTTAACAGTGATTTTCTATATCGCTCTACAATTGATGTATTAAACACTATTTTAACAGTGATTTTCTATATCGCTCTACAATTGATTAATTGAGCACAATATTTTATTATCGTATATATATAGATATAGATAAGAGATATTCAAATGCTAGAGCAAGGCATACCATTTAAGTCAGTAGTATACGTACATACACATGAACGCTATATAAGCAAAATGTGTTGGTCAGGACAAAATGGAACCACGAATAACCACGAGTGTAGTTAATGTTATGTGTTTTGACCTATTGTATAGTGAATACAAACCAATTTTGAATACAAAAATCAAAATCGGATGTAACTAGCAATATAATTTAATCAAACTAAAATATAACAGTATTTATTGTTATAGAGAACAGAATATCAATTTGAAAATGAATAATATTTTAAGTGCGTGACTATCATGCCGTGATGTGTGCATTAATGAAATAAAAATATAAGAACACTACTATGTTACTGTATCATAACCCCGTATTGCCGGGATCGATCCGCTGTTTTGAAAATGGATCTACTGAATTTTAAAACAGTTGGTTTACTATCAACAAATATGAAGTGCATTGAGTAACGCTTGTTTTCATTAACCTGAATGCAGAACGCTATGACGCTCAACACCACGTTCTCCACATGGTACACATTATGAAAATGAAGTTGCTGGTGTGAGGTCAGACTGTCTTGACTTTCTAGAATAATATCTACTGGGTATTGTATATTACTCTCTAAATAAATGAAGAGAGTTTGACCTCCTACTTTCTGTTTGGTTAATACAGAAGACCAGCACCATACATTAGGGAACCTGTGGCAAGCAGCATTAACCAAATCTTTTTCGTTTTGCAACTGCCAATGGATCTATAAAATGCACAACATGTTGCTCATGGTTTCACAGTCACAGCACAACTAAGCATAACGTTATAATGAAACTCATATTCAATGCATTTACATAACAATGCCGATGTTAAAGATATAAACTGGTATCATGTCAAGAAGATACTGTGAGGACACAATACAACCATGAAAAACGTGTCAATCTTATGCGCGTTATTCAGACAATAAAACAATTTGCAGGCTCAAATTTAGACTGTGAGTTACTGATTACTGATAAGCTCAGCTTAACATGTCAGTTTCTGATACTAAAGTATGATTGGTCAAAAGAAAAATGGCCTACTTGTCCCTTTAAGCACAAACAATACAGACAGTACAACCAAAAATCTGTATCATTTCAAGCTACGACATCATCTTTTTAATTTCTAACAGATGAAGTATAATAGTATAATAGAAACTAACCTTATATACATTATTATTCATGATGCCTTGTTGAATGTTATTTAATAAATCGTTATTTGAGAATATGCGGTTAATTTAATGATCACGTGTGAGCTGTCTTTCGTTCAGTAAAATGCCTACTTGAATTAAATTTTTCGTTCAGTCAATACCATCATGGCTACGGAACAATCAAACATTTTCGCTGCGAATATACGGCACGGTAATTTATGTTTATAAATTAGCGAATCCTAATTATAAGGCATGCTATTGTTATTATCGACGTATTGGTCCTATAAAGTACACACATGTCTATCACATGTTGCGTACGTGATGGAATGGCATGTTTCAACTATCCGGATTTTCGATACACCGTTTTATCGGGAACGGGAATGTGCGGATAAACGAGGCTCCACTGTACAATCATAAAGTTTATTCCTTTATTACATCAGCAATTTAACATAAAGGCGCCCTCTCACTTTAATGATTACCACTTGCGTTTGGTTGCGAACAATGAGTACTGAATATAACTGCATGAGCGTTGCTTTCGAAATATATGACCGCTTATCTTATTCGCAGCCATTCGCAAGTGGTAATCCCTATAGTGCGAGGCACCTTGAGTATTTCAATAAGAACTAGAACTTATCAAGTCATTTATTTCCCAGTCCAGACACCATGTAGCTAAAACTTGTTAATAATCTAATCGTAGAGAAAACAGAAGAATTCCTTGCCAGAAATTTATTAGGTAGGCCCACTTATCGCCGACAAATCTAGCATTGCAGAAAAACTTATTTATATTCGAATTAGCACTACTTCTATTTTAATTCTTAGGAATGTTTTACAGAGTAGTTTAGATCTTGGTATTTAGAATCTGGCAAGGTATGATTTTTTGAATTATAATATGTTCAAATTATGGTTAAAAAACCTGAATATTTGATTTTATAAAACGATGCGCAATTCCACAGCTGAAACGTTATGTCGAGGTTCAGTGCTCTGTATCAGGCTATTTTAAAGGGGCATTCCGCTTTTTTTGTAAAATATTTTCATTATCAAAAACTTCGTAAATTATACCTGAAAATGACTTTCTAAATTATGCTATTTATTTCTATGTATCTACTTGATCAAAATGAAATTGTTTTAACAGCGTTAATTAAAAACTGAGAGTACTCATTGTTAATTAAGCAGTTTGACATAGTTTCGGTGATTGGTATTATAATGGCTCGTCATATTTAGTTGAAATCTTAAGAAAACGTAGGAGACATATGCGTTTATTTTACCTTTTACGTAAAGTTTTGGAGTTAAAACTTTTAGATACGTTTTAAGATATAATACCTTTCTATAGATTTTTGTTTATAGTTTTCACAAATTTGAGCACAAGAAAAAGCGTAAGGTCGTATAGAAATGTAGAATTTGTCTCTCCTTTGATCGCAGCAAAGTTAAGTTGATGCTTTTGAGTTTTGTACTGTGAATCGGTAATGTTCATTTCAACTATATCTTCATATAAAGAATAAGACCGAGGGATTAATTGTTTTGGATTTTCAACTCTCGCTAAAACTACACTTTCGGGATAATACAATATATTAAAACAAGACAAAAGAAACTTGATATTTTGAAGACGAGAAATTCATTGATGTCATTCAGTAGAAATAGAGAAATTATGACTTTAGATACAGTAGAGGTAGTTGCGGCGCCAGTAAAGTTGGGGAACAGAGATCGACAAAGATAAAATGGTTTGCACCCCCACTCAATCAAATTATAACATAATGATTTGTATACGTTTTTGTCACAAAAACGTGTCACAATGCATCAAATCAATTCAATTTTTCCAAATTTTCTTGGGAGAACCCTCTTAGACGCTCAATGGGAGGCTCGCGACGATAACTCCTCCACAGAGTGGCCGCATTTTGAATTCAGTCTCAACAGTTGTCCACCCATTGAGTCAGTCTGCCCCCTTTTTGTACCCCTAGTGTCGGGAGGCTGGCACCGCCACTGAACAGCAGAATGAATAAAAGATACAATAGTCTAGAACCAGTCTTATCATTATCATGCTCATCAATGGAGTCTTGCCAAGGTGTAGAAACATTACTATTGTATCTGATATATCATACTGGTACAGATTAGTCAGTTAAATGTAGGATAGTCGGTCGAAGATATTCTATTGTTCTCAGAATTAATATTCAATCGTACTTGGTTTTTCAATTAGTGTCAAAAGAGGGAGTAGTCATTGTTTTATCAGTCGAATTAAAAATAGACTGATGTTTTATGAACTTCATTTAATTATAACCTTTTAAACAAATCGTCCGAATTTCATATTTTAAGAGAAATTCCCCCATGTCTATAAACAAAAGATGATTGTCGCACATATTCAAAAAAACGGGAATCTCAATGCTAATATTGTTCATAGCAAACTTATGTCGATCTGTACATTAGAAACTAACCCCTCGCCCATAGGACGAGTTATTATTTTCATCTTATTTCAGATCAGAATAGAAGAATAATTCCAAGCGGATCCAGACGCTTATTCCAATTTCTAAAAAAAATATTTAAAAGGAATCAAACTCTCCCTTCCCTGAAATAAAAATATACCAAGTAAATCGGCTCGGAGTTATATGTGTTAAGAAACGTAAAGTCAGTCTAAGACTCTCCTACTAATTAATGATTATATTTAATTCTATACTCCAAAAAAATAGTGTAATAGAATTTACCGACGATAAATGGGAAGCCAATACATGCAATTAAAACATATGCAAGTTATGCATAGAAATATCAGCAATCTGTTGAAGAACTAAGCTATCTTTAAGAGAAAATAAATCATTATTATTTTGATGGAATAGAAACTTATGACAGTTCGTGTAGTTAATAGTTTCTAAGTTAATTTTAATCAGAAAACATCACACGATTCTGTGTGTGGATAACGCTTCTGTTATTCTGAATACCTCATAATGATATTCCTTATTTTTAACGTATGAGAATGTTCCGATTTACGTGGCATATTTTGAAATATCTACTTTTTAAAACAAAGAAGAGCTAACATAGAATGTTATTGATCGGACTGTATTTTGTATGACTCCCTCATGTTGATGCAAATACCAAAAATCACTTCACCATATTAGTACATATTAATATATTTTATGCCATTGGATGGCAAGTCCCCCTCCCTTTTCCTCACCCCTATTCCGAACAAACACACCCTCACACACCCTCATATCAAGGATAGGGTTTAAAAACTACAAAAACTGTCCACAGAAGAACACGGAATTCCCCAATGGCATGACAGTAAAAATGCGATCGCACTGTTGTAAGAGTTCATAATGATAGAATGGTAAAGTTATGAATACTATCTACTCTAGCCGAGCTTAATGTAACTACAACATAAACCCGGGTTTTCTATACTGATATACATCAACTGGCTTAA